TGCACTTGAGAAGAATATATATATATATTCTGCTATTGTTGGATGAAGTGTCTGTATGTCTGATCAGTTCAACTAGTCTATAGTGTTCAAATTCTGTTTCCTTGTTTTACATATTATTAGAAGTGGGGTATTAAATCTACTGTCCATTACTATCTATTTCACTCTTCAGTTATGTTGTTTGCTTTATATATTTAGCTTTGGTATTTTGTACATACACTGAGTGGCCAGATTATTATGATCTCTGAATGCATAATAATCTGGCCATTCAGTGTATATTCTATATAATAAACGGCTAATATACAAATTGTCCCCTCGACCAGGATTTCGACCAGCAGGCAGGCCGGCCAACTGCCCATGTCCCCTCCCCCTGGCCAGGCTGGTCGGACCACACACACACACACACACACACACACACTCTGAGTGGCCAGATTATTATGCATTCAGAGATCATAATAATCCGGCCACTCAGTGTATATATTTAAAATTATCATATCTTCACCCTAGTTAGTTTGGCAGAGCATTGGCCTGCAGACAGGGGTCCTGGGTTTAATTCCAGTCAAGAGCACATGCCTAGGCTGCGGGCTGTCCCCAGTAGGGTGCATGGCGGCTGATCAGTGATTTTCTCTCATCATTGAAGTCTCTCTCCTTCTCCCTTCCTTTCTAAAATCAATTAAATAAAAAAGACTGGAATCTTCTTTTAAAATTGTCATATCTTCATGGTGAATTGGCCCTTTTGTCTGATATTAGCATAGCTGCCACTGCTATCTTTTAGCTACCATTTGCATATTAATAGCTTTATCCTCTTACATTTAGCCTGTATGTGTGTCCTTAGATCTCAAGTTAGTCTCTTTTAGACAGCATATACTAGTTAGATCCTTTTAAAAAATTCTCTATCTTTTGTGGACTTGAATACACTTATTTATATTTAATGTAATTACTGATAGGAAAATACTGTTGTCATTTTGTTCATTGTTTTCTGTATGTTTTGTAGTTTTGACCATTTCCTCTTACTCCCTTCTCCTTTGTGTTTCATTATTTTTTTTTAAAGTGACATGCTTTGATTTTCTTCTCATTTCCTTTTGTGTAAAATCTAGAGGTATTTTTTTTTTTGGTTACCATGTGGATTATATAAAAAAAATCTTAGTCATGACAACTTGAATTGCATACAAAAATTCCACTCCTTTATCTGCCTACCCTCACTTTGTTATTGATGTCACAAATTATACTTTATTTTGTACCTATCAACATAGATTTGTAGTTTTGGGTTTTGCTTTTTTTTTGCCTTTGCCTTTAAAATTCTATACAAAAACTAAAAGTAGTAATTCAGGCATTGAGTTTATATTCTGTATTTCTTTATAGTTGGTTCCTAGATTTTTGTTTTAGATTGGAGCCATCTTCATCTGTTCATATGCCTTGTGAACTTTGTTGAGATTTGGGGCTTGAAGAGGTGCCTAAAGCCTGGCTGGAAGCTCAACTTTACAAACTTTTCTGGATATGTATCTTCTCTGAGTTGGTGTGTGTGCTTTCATTCTAGGGAAGACAGCTTTAGCTGTCTTCATTTCCCTCACAGACTTGCCCCAGTTTCTCCTCAGGAACCGTTTCAATTTTTCTTGTATTCCTGTCTGTATCTTTTGCACCCTCTGCTTAAAGAACTGTAGGCCCTGTTTTTCTAATGCACCTGTGCTCTCTTCTGTTTTCAATGGCTTTCAACCAGCATCCAAACCATACCACCACTCCCACTAATTCTGCAAGTCAGTGAGAATCCAGTACCTCAAGCAACCTTCACACAGCCAGAATGTTTACACACAAGTGCTTTCTGTCTTAAGGGAAGAGGCAGGAATTGGGAGTTTCCTCTCAATTGTGTCACACTGCTGAGTAGGGCAAGGGGCTATGATGAGCAAAATGCCAGACTTTTCAGTGCAGCTTCCTTCTGGCTTTGTGTTCACTTGGGTGTTGTAAATAGTTTCCCAACTTGTTTCCAGAGTTTGGTCCTTATATTGTTGTTACCTTAGTGTTTCCATGGGGAATGAGGAACTTCATGGATGATGTGACTCCCCGCTCCTCTAGTGTATTCACTAGTCACAAATGGCTAATAAAACTTTCATATATATACATGGGAGTGGTTAGGGGGTGATCAGGCTGGCAGGCAGAAGCATTTAGGGGCAGGCAGGCAGGCAGCTGAGAAGTTAGGAGCTAGTGGTTCCAGATTGTGAGAGGGATGTCCAACTGCTGGTTTAGGCCCTATCCCTATGGGATCACACATCCCCGAAGGGGTCCCAGATTGGAGAGAAATGCCAGCTGGCCGGGCTAATGGACACTCCCCCCTACCCTAGTATACGAATTTTGTGCTCTGGGCCAATAATCCTATATAACAGGCCAATATGCTAATGAGACTATACAGCAGAATGACCTTCAAGAATGATTAGTGGACGGGGCCAAGCCCCTTGCATGAATTTTGTGCATTGGGCCTCTAGTCAATGATAAGACAGAATCATTGATTAGCTGCACCCTGCATGCCCCCCACCCACTGGCATCGAACCATATCCTCGTGGTTCAACCACTGAGCCATGCCAGCCAGGCCTAATCTCATTCTTATGAGAGATACTGAATTAAGTTTGGCCTAATAAAAAAGTTCCCCAAATTTTACTCCAAAAACCTGATTTAAATAACGAAATTCTGGAAACATCAACCAGAAATATTTTCAGGATTATTTAAGAAATTTTCCTCTTGTGGGGTGAGGGTTTTGATAGCCCATAAAGTATTCTATTTCACCTTCCCTTAATTGTTTTGGAAACTATTAGATTATAGTAACATTAGAAATCCAGTGTTTAGTTTTGAGAAAACATTCTGTGTAAGAGGAAGCACCTGTTAAACGGGAGGCATTGGAATAATTTTGTGTCACATACACGCCTTTATTACTTTAGGTGTAAACATACTATTTTACTCCTTAAAACTTTTATTCTGACTTGTGGTTTATAAGTGATTATAAACTTAGATAATGCATTCAGTTGATTTTGTGATCACAATCTCTGTGTTTTTAAGACAAAGCAGAATGAGTAAAAATTTAACTATTATCTAGTGCACTTGTTAGTTTCACCTGCATTACTATGATGAGCAGCAGACAGAAGAGGGCAAAGGGAAATTCAATGGGTAGGACCATGTATATATACATTCCTGTAAGGTAACCATAAATGGACTTATATATGGTGAATAATCAACTTCTATTTAATTAGGGATAATCTTGTCTTCTTCCTAGGGCAGTGGTCAGCAAACTCAGTCAACAGAGCCAAATAACAACAGTACAATGATTGAAATTTCTTTTGAGAGTCAAATTTTTTAAACTTCTAACACCACTTCTTCAAAATAGACTTTCCCAGGCCGTGGTATTTTGTGGAAGAGCCACACGTGGCCTGTGAGTGCCGTTTGGCAACCACGGTCCTAGGGTATATATCCTTGAAGGCAGGTATCACTTCTATTCAAAATTGTATCTTCCTACCCCACACTCATTCACACATTATACATTTGTAGGCAATAGACTGAGCTCAACAGTGTTGATTAAACTTAGAACTATTTCTAGTTTTTTGCCATTTTTTTTTGTTATATAGTCACTCCCTAATAAGTCCTTGTTCCTAATAATTTTTAATAATTCTATTTGAACTCTAAAATATCTCAGTTCAAAAGTTCAAGGCATGAGACCATACCAGCCATTTCCAAGATAAAAAAGTCTTCCCTAGATTCTGAAGGTCCACTTTTCTTTGAATTCTACAAAATAACAGAGTTTGCCACTTAATAGCATTCTCTCATCTGATACAACATTATTTAAGTGTGAATCTACCCTGGCTAATAAAAACAAATGAAACTCAGAATTGTTACTAATTCTGAAGTCATGACTTTTTAAAGAGATTTAAGACAGCAAATAAAATTGGAGAAAACTTATTCTTTATTGAAAAATACCAATAATACTGACAGACTTCAAAAGCAGTTCAGGCTTCCAGAATACAAAGTACTCAACACATTTTTTTCAAACCTGTTTGCATTTCACACAAACAGCATTTTTGTAAATCAAGTTTGATAACCTGACTGAAAATGTTTTCCAGCTTTATTATTTATGGAGTGCACATCTTTAAAGTGGGGTCAGTGAGGTGGGCAGGAGCAGAATGCACCTGGGCTGTGCAGCAGACTATCGCCACATTGCCCACAACTCCCGGGCCGGCAACAAAAACACTGCACAGGATAGCTGCCCTCCAGTGTCAGAGGATCTTGAGAAACAGCATATCAAGAGATAGCTAGCCTTTCTTTTTCATTTACATTTAAGATTGCTTTTTGAAGGAAATCTTTAAGAATGACAGTGTAATTAATGTCATCCAATAACTGAATTAAAAAAAAACTATAATGAAAGAATTGTACTGTTATCAAAACAGTCTTTGCTGAGCTATGAGTAATAATTCTATGCTTTAGATGCAACAAAATTAATACATATGCAAGTTTAATTTGAAACCACAAAAATTATGTATGTAGGCTCAGATAGTAGCAGTGTTCACTTTATTACTAATAGCTTAACTGGAACAGCCACTCTATTCATTCCACCAGCAGGAATAGCAGCACCAAGATCTAAAATTCTTTGTGTAAAAAGGCTTATGTCATTTTCCAAGTCCCATTCTTTGCATGCTCCAATTCTTGTTATCTTATTTAAAACATAAAAGCAACAGAATTTGGAGAGTTACTATTTGCTGTATTAAAACAGTTATACAGCATCTTGTACTTCAAAAAGCAAAATACTGTGAATGGCAACTCTTCTTCACATCTCTAAACTTGAAGCTGCCAAGCATTCACTGCTCGTGCCAACAGTGGTATTTCCACAGTAAAATAGCAGAAACTAAAGGAATCATGGCACAATGTATTTCTGAATTCTTTTATCTACCATTGGTCCTGGGCTTAGAACCTTTCCCTCGTAGACTATATCTGCTGATTATTCCATCATCTTGAATGAAGGAAAGGCATCAGGTCATATAGCGCGTAATGGCTCTCAGAGCATAAAGGAGTTCGGCTTGCATCCTAGCTTCTATAAGAAGCAGATTAACATGAACCTGCATATAAAACATAACATTTAAGGTAAGGTTATAATCATTCACAATTAGTTTCTCAGTATGTTTAATAAACACCAAAAATCAAGTACATTTTCTGTGTCCCACTGAATAACTTAGAAATCTTGGGTTTACTGACCAGAATATTAAGTTTTATTAAAAAATATTTTTATTTCAGAGAGGAAGAGAGTGAGATAGAAACATCAATGAGAGAAAATCATTGATCAGTTGTCTTCTGCACACCCCCTTCTGGGGATCGAGGCTACAATTTCGGCAAGTGCTGTGACCACCTGGTTCATAGGTCCATGCTCAACCACTAAGCCAAACCGGTTGGGCCAGAATATCAGTATTTCAAAACAAAAGCCATCTGATGCTCTTTTTGGGTAGTTGTTTTGTGCTTTTATTTATGTTTGATCACATCTCTTCTATATTTCAGAAAATCTAGACAGTGCTTTTTCAAAATGTCAATTTCCCTAGTCAAATCATCATTCAATAAAGTCTATCTAAAGATGAATCAAACAAAATTTTTTTAAAGAGCTCTTATACAAATAGTCTTCTCCTAAGTAGTGACATCCATGACAACATTTCAAGATGGGCCAGATCACCTGTCTTATTTTTTTTTTTCTCTGTACCAGGAGGTTCTCTCCCAAGTGGTATGTGAGGCAGCTGTGCTGGAATGTTTTCTGGGTTGGTAGAGGTGATGAAAGATTTGAGATGCTTTAGATTAGGTGAAGGAGAATTAGAACCACTAAGTTACAGAGTAAATAATACACAGTAGAGGCATACCTTCTCGGAGTGCTTGAACTGCCTCCAGAAGCTATCATACATTCTTTTGGTAACCTTTTCAGGAGTGCAAACAATGGTTTTGATATAAACTTTAAAGCTACGATCCAACAGCTGGTTAATTTCACCATAGTCATAGTCATCATATCTGTTAAAAGACAAAGTGAGAACTATATATTTTTTTTCTTACAAAAGTACAGAAACCACTAATAAATGCTATATTCTTTTTTTTTTTTTAAATGCTACATTCTTTTCCCCTCTTTGTGTAGGCAGCTGTCCCCCCAAATAACAACTTTACAATGTTTAAATGGGAGTGGCAGCTGTCCCCCCAAATAACAACTTTACAATGTTTAAATGGGAGTGGATTAGTAAGTAGAAATGGATAAGAAACAGAAGTTAGGGAGAGGAACAAAAAATTTACCAGTACCTGAACAACAGTATATATTTACAATTATGAATAAGCAACCATACTAAGGTACAAATTCTAGAAAGTTTATGAATATTGCTGAAATTAATGAGACAATATTTGTTATTGGTACTATTACATGATATATAAATTGTAATTCACTTGTGTAAATAAAATAATTAGAATTCTTTTTCTCATGTTCCCAAGATCCTGGGGTTATATGATAAAAAAAAAAGGGGGGGGGGAAACGGAGTAGTCCAGAGGAAAGATGGTCTATATATGGCCTCACAGTGTCTATTGCACTTAGGAGACACTGTTCTGATTTAAACCAAGATCGTCAAAGGCTGCAGTGTATGCTCTACCCCACTAAGTGATGATTTCTAGAACACCCAAGGACTAAAATTTCCTGTTTGTTTTTCAGTGGAAAAGGGAGAAAATTCTTACAAAGCTCGTCCTACCCATTAAGGAGGTTAAAGTTAATAGCTAAAACAATCAAAGTGCTGTTGCATAGAGTTTGTGTGCATATGTCAGAAAGCAGTATTAATAGCTGCACTCTCTATATTAAAGTGGCTGAATACCTAAGAGTCAGGACATGAACGCTTCACACTTTGATGTACCATGGGAATAGGGAGTAGCTTTTGAAGGAGCTTGAGAATAGCCAGAGGGGTACTACTATGAGGTACTAAGTTCCAAAATGTAAGTGTATCAGTAAATAGATAATACCTGCCCTCCCTCCTTTTCCCTGGAAGCATCTTGTCAATGTCCCTAACTCTCCTTCCTGTCTAGTTAAGAAAGAGGAAACAAACCAAGCTGTTATAAATTGGTTCTCTGAAATATAAGCATAAAAATAAGCTACTGGAGAAGGGATTGTTTTGAGCTTGTGTGTCTGTATGCATATGTGTTCCAAGTACCTGAATAATTTAGTCCAATGGAAAATACCTCTTTGTAAACATAAGAAAACAGACTAACCTTATTCCAAACATGCAGTGAATATAGTTCCAAATAGCCCGTCTGAGCATTGAGGTATCAACATCTTTGTGCATTGCCATTGTATTGTAAGTAAGATTGTAAGCAATGTGAAATTTTTCATCAATCAACTGTCCCACATCTGGATAAAGGCGATTTACCAAAGAATAACCATGGTCTTCCCAGCAATAATCCTAAATACAGAGAATAGAATAAAAGTGAATAATTAAAATGTGGCCAAGTATTAGCCTATGTCTAGCTATCAGCAGTGTGGTAAGATTATTGTTAGTTGGAATCCACTGCCATTCCAGTACATCCCTAGCTCTCAGCTTCACTCCAGCCAGATATTTTCAATTTCGATACTACAACATACAAAAGATTATATTTATTATTCAGTCGGTTTAAAAACCAGTGTACTCTCTTCCTCTTACACATAGGCCAACGTTGTCAGCTTTCTCTCTGTCTCCTCTCTCAGCATCCAGAGGAGCCCTCTATCTCCTTTTCCATCACTGCACCCACCCAAACGGTCCTCAAGTTTTATTTTGAAATATCCATTATTCATTCCTTTTCCTCCTGCTTCATCTTTTGACTCAGACCTGTTTACTAGGTCTTCTGGTTAGATTTTCCACATTAAATTTCCCTGCTTCCTACCTCAAACAAAACTTAATAAAGCCCTCACTTCTATGCTGTTCCCTTATTTATTTTCCCCAAACACCTCTTTGATACCATGAAATTACTCTGGTCAAAACCTACAAGCCTGACCAATTTCCCACTAGTCTGAAGTAGGAACCCTTTGTTTAAAGCTCACCCTGCCAGTTTCTCTATCTTCCTCACTCACTATATCCCTTAACCTAAGCTCAATAATTGCTCAATTACTGTCCTCTGCATATAATGCCCATGCTTTTGGACCATTCAATCATCTCAATTCCTAATCTCCCTCCACAAAATGTTCAGTCCTCCTCATTTCTTTAATTCTATTATATTTCATAATACAACTTCACTATCAAGTGGAAACACTATAAATTCCTTATGTCTATTTTTATTCCCTTAAATAATCTTAGTTCCTTGAGCAAAGAAATGAAATCTTATAGTTCTCAAGCATTTTCATAATACTGGCAAACTAGTTATTAACACAGGTCCCTCACAATATGGAAAAGTTTGGAATATCAACTCACCTAAATTAAATATTTATACATTATTTTAAAATATCTTTTAAATACAGTAATTTCTACTGATGGGCTAGAAGTAGTCTTACAAAACTAAAGCACAGAATAGGTAAATATTTGCTAACTGATGATTGTCAACTTTTATTCTGGTACTAGGGGATACAGCTTCTGCTGCTTCTAACATATGCTTGCAAAACACTTAGCACAAGCACAGTGCCTCCTGCAAAACAAAAGAGAAAGGCTGGTACCCTGGAGGACCACCGGTTCCTTATGTTTCCATGGACAGAAGGACACTGGGGAAATTTACTGTGTATTTCAAAGTTAATTATTTGGGAGGTAAAGAAAATGGGCCCATCAACAATAATTCTATTCCCAACATCACTAACTTTATTCACTGAGAGATAGCTGTTAAGTAATTTTGGAATTTTTATTTATGTGAATCCCCCCAAAGTTTAAATATAAAATCCTCAAAAACTGTCATTGCCTCAAATAACATTCAGTTCATATTTTAAAGGGATTTGGGATACTGTAATTGTCATGTTTTATTTTCTTTGGCATCTGTATTTAAACACATCTTTCACCTCTGACTTTCTTATCCCTTTCCCTCCACCTACATATAATGCTTGATATGCTGAGGATGTTTCTCTTGTCATTCTGGATTGGTGCTTATCAGGGCAGAAATAACCTCATTTTAAATTGGGGTTTAGTAGGAAGGGGGAGAAAAACCAATGCTAGCTACATTTAAATACAACTGTTATTGTTTAGTTATATATTAGAACTTTGAGTTTTTATGCAGCATCTAGGAATATAACCACCACTGTAATTTTGTTTTATGGGTGAATGTGTTTTGAATTCTCAGCCACTGGTTTATGAACTTTAATAATATATACACCTTTAACAGTAGAATAAATATATCTAAGGGAACTGCCTTAGAAAAGTTATGCTGCAACATTTTATACTTCTCAAATCCACGTGGCTCTTTCTTAAGTCAAATTGAGTTATTTCAAACCAATTATTATGTATTAATATTAGTATGTGTATAAAATACGTTGCAATTTTACCTGGACTCGAAATGTTGGAACATGCATCCCATGTCTAGAGAAATCCTTATAGCCATAGCTAGTATCCTCAAAGTGACGAGATATATCTCTTGCTGGTGTAACTTCATCATCATCTGAAATAATTACAAAAACTACTGAAATCTTTTTTAAAAAAATAGGATGCTAGTTAAAATTCATTTTACCAACAAGTAAAAATAGGATAACCTTTTCTTGGGCCCTGAGTAACCAATATCAACTAAAATAGTCTTAAGACTATAAAGAGAAGTAGCTCACTTGCCAGTAAGTGGAATATAATAAAAGCATACAGTAGGTCCTCTGGTTACGCTGGAGATCCATTCCTACGGCGTGATTTTCACCGTAAGTTGGAACACACATAACACACCTATGCCATTCACATGGAGCACATACACAGTAGTAATGAAGTAATGAAATGACTGGTTGGACAATTAGAAAAATTTAAAAGAAAACAATTCCTGACCTTTACTTTTGGTAAATAATAAAAAACATAAAGCTCATATGTACATACATTGAAATGACGAAACTTTTTTTTATAAACAAATGGGAGATGGCAATGTAACCATGAAACAACATATGCTGAGTTCAACATAACCCGAGGACTGTCTGTATTTATGTAATAAAGAGCTAATATGCTAATAGTTGTGACACACTCACAAGTAATGACTATTCAACAGGAGGCTACAAGTGTGGTGTGGTGGGGTGGAGACAGGGCAGAAGCGAGAAGATGCCTGGAGGAGGCAGAACCATCCCATGGCGGGAGGGTGGGGGTGAGAGCCCATAGCGGCCCTCTCACCAGTCCTTTGCCACCCACTCAGTGCACCGGCTGCCCACCTGCCAGGGGAAGGAGTGCAGTGTCCACACTGCCAGGAAGTGGTGCTTGAAACTCTGCAGCAAGTATGAGGCTTCCATGCTCTCTCACTCTCTTCCAGAGCCATGATGGGGCAAAAGAGGGGAGGCACCCAGAGGAGGCGGGATCAGCCTAAGGCAATTCATGCGACCGAGGGCGGGGCTTGAAGTAACCAGAGAAGGATGGAGGGGCTGGAAGTGGGGCCAGGCACACTGGAGCTCTGGATGGAGAGGTTAGGGTGTCAAGGTGGGGCTGCACAATTTCACACACCGGATCACTAGTCTGTTATTAAAAAATACTCATGGTTGAATTATTTATACTTTTCATCCAGGCTCATTCTCCCTCCATCTCCAGTTTATAGATACTTGGTTCTACTTAAAAGTATATATTCAAAGTATGAATATCCTTTTGGATAATCTTTTTGGTAATAACAAATCAGCTTGTTCTAAACTTTGGCACTGCTATTATTTTTTTACTATTCATGTTCTATAATATATAATACTAGCAGCCCAGTGCATGGACTTGTGTACCAGTGGGGTCCCTGGGCCTGGCCTGTGGGGACCAGGCTGAAGGACCCCACTGGTGGACGATAGGGGCCAGGGAGGGACCACAGGAGGACTCCAAGGTATGCAGTGCCAGTCTCACCCAGTCCAGATCGGCCAGACCCCAGCAGTAAGCTAACCTACTGGTTGGAGCATCTATCCCCTGGTGGTCAGTGCTCATCATAGTGACTGGTCGGACACTTAGAATACTAGGGGAGGATTATTTCTCTTATAGCACAAAGGTTTTAGAATGGTAAATGAAGAAAAGAAGTATGTGTGATCATTTTTACAATGTTTCATGTACTGTTCTAAAATTTCTGAACTATCTTTAAGACTTGATGAGATTATAGTTTCAAGTAACTAGAAACAAAAACTTTTCCTCAAGGAAAAACAAGCTTACAGGCATACTTCATTTTTTATACTTCACAGATTAGGTATTTTCTTACAAATTGAGGGCAAGACCCTTCATCAGTAAAAATACTGTGATTCACGTTATTGTGACACTTTATTGTGGTGGTCTGGAACTAAACTCTCAGTATCTCTGAGGTATGCCTGTATATAAATTAATTTTTTCAAATGTCCTTCCACCTAGTCTAGTGCTCTTTTCACTATAACTTCCTTTTCTTTATTTATAAGCAGGAATACCTATGCAATAGTCTCTAAAAGAAAAGACATGTTTGGATTGATGTTTAACAACTTTTAAATATTCTCTCTCAAAAAAAGTTGTATTCTCTTTTGTAAGCTATAGAAATTTAATCAGCATGTAACAGTTGTTTTTACCTGAAGAGAAGACAAACATGCTCTCTCTTTTTTCTATTTCAAAACGTGAGGCCATCTCTTCCTGACTTGCCTCTTCTTCATCTCGACATTCCTGTAATTGCCTCATCTTTTCCATGAGGGCTTCGACCTCAAAGAAGGAATCACTTATCTGAAGAGAAAATACAATTAATGTTTCTTACACTAGTCAGAGGATGAAATTTTTGAATTTTAACAGAATATAGGAAAAATAAATCTTATAATTTTAGTACATCTAAGTGAATTGAAAATTGGTTTTGGTCTGTTAGAGATATGCAGATTTTAAACTATAAGAGAAAAATTACTTTAAGAATACATTCTAATGTGTTTTTTTTTTTTACCTTAGAAAATTATCAATGTCATCACTGTTAGGTTTTAAAAAATTAAAATTTAATCTTACTTGTCAATTTAAGACAGAAATGGATATTTTAAAAGTTAATTTTTATTTGCTCAATCAGTTAAAACAAAAAGTATAAGTGGTTTGGCATATTGTCAACATGTTTCATCATCTCTAAATTACAGTAATCAGCCCTATCTTTCCAATTTACCAATTACTGGTAAGAATGAAACATGTCCTTTATAGGGCTGGAGTTGTTCACCTGATCTCTGCAAATAGGGCTGGCAGCTGTCACTTGCTGGGATGACTACAGCAGTGGCATGTTTGTAATGACAGGTCTGATACTAGAGGAATGGCCAAATGGTCTTAAACCAGCCTAACAATTTATACTTCTATACCCTGCTACACCCTTACTATGAAAGCTGGATCCAATCTATGGAATTTATACCTTATAAAACATAGTAAGAAACCTTAACATTTAAATCTGTGTTCAAATGTAAAATCAGTGTTTCCCCTTTATAAACTCCTTTTGCCATGAATGTTCTTCCCCCTCTCTTCTGGCTTACACCTATTGGTCCTTCAGATGTCAGATTACATGCTTCTCCTGAGTCCCCACCCCCAACCCAGTCACTCTCCTTATTCTCAAATAGCACTCTGCTCTTTCCTTCAGAGAGTGAAATCAGTTTGTAATGGTTATTGCATGATAACGGTTTAATGCCTGCTTCCTTAAGACCAAACCTTTATGAGGGAAGGAGGCCTATCTGTTTAATTTATTAGTATATTTTCAGCATAGTGCCTGGCATATAGTATTTCAAGAAATATTTGTTGCAGAATGACTGTCAGGTTAAGTCTATGTTAAGAGAAAAATACTGTATACTTTTTGGGGGTACTTATTTTCTTATGATTCCAACAGTTACAACAAAGTACCATTCCTGAACTAAGTATTTTTTCTCATAATTATCATGATGGAAAGTGTTCCTATGATGTCTTGATGATTCTTCTGATTTATATCTCTCCATAATTATTCCTGAGACAGGATTAGTAGCCAAACAAAAATTTAAAAAACTGAAAAGGGATTGTGTTGCTTAAGAGAAAGACCCAAGATGTGGTTTTTTTTTGTGTGTGTGTGTTTAATTAAGGTCTCTATCAACTCACATTACCCCTTTATTATGTTAATTTGTTTATCCATTTTCCTCTAAAATAGAAATAAGAAACAAAATATTTTAATATTAACATGTTGATATTATATGAGGAAATTATTTTTGGTTTGTTTTTCACCATTTGTATCTGAAGAATAAGTTATATTAAGTTATATCAAATTACTGTCAAGTCCAATCAGTCTGGCCTATAAATCTTCTAAAAGAAGCCAACTCAACACCTGAAAATAGGAAGCTTATCTACTACAGAAAACTTTTCTAATATTTCACTGTGTTTTTAATAGAAGGATCACTAAAAACAATCAAACTTTTCTTTAGCCTCGTACTTTATCAAATACCCATTTTGCATAACCATTCTTATTCTTTTTGCCTACTTTCCTATGTAATATTTGTCCTACCCAATTAAGCAGTTGGTTTACTGGGGATGGGAGGGTGGGGCATGGAGGAGGTGATCCAGAGCAGATTTTCATGGCTGACCTGCTTCTCTCCCATAATGCTTTCATTTATTATTGGAATAAATGCTCACATATGATTTTTTAAAAAGTAGGCAAGAGCAATAATACAATTTCCAAGCATCCTAGCAACTGATATACTCTCCCTTAGACCATCTCTTAACCTCTAAGCTTTGATAAATTATCACTGGTCTTATACAGATCTATAATGTGAACCCAACTAGCTCCAAAGAGGATGACAATGGTAGTCTTAGGCTTTGTCAGCAAAGCATGCTGATCAAGCTTGGGAAAATGATTTTCCTTCATGTGCTGATCTCACTGTATGTAATTTAGCACCTGAAAAATACCAAGTGCTATTCTAGACCTGTTATCTCTTTATAGACATTTCATTTAAATCAGAAGCCAGCCTGTGTCTTTTGTCCAGAAGGGAAGAAAAGGATGTGATCGGCATTAGGAAGTCACTATCACCATGTAGCACTATTCTCAACCTCCTCTCACTGCAGTAGCTCTTCAGTACTAGTTGGCTCTGATGGGGCACATGCTGGTGGCCCCTAATCCTAAAATTACTCAAACATAACTTCCTAAATGGTCTTATAAACTTGTATATCCCTTAGTACTGGACTAATGCTGGGTATTTGGAGACAGTCAATAAATAATTGCTGAATGAACAAATATAGGGACCCAATGGAAAAAAACAAAACAAAAAACAAACAGCAATTATTGAGATTAGAAATTAGTCTTATGATAATCACGTAACAAGATAAGAGACTTACCGAAACATTTCCTGCTGAGTTGACCTGATTCTCTTCCACACTGTGATTGCCATTTGTAATGTCACAGATGCAGTAGTTATTAACAGAAGGAGGTCTGAATGTGTGGCCACCATCACAATGAATTTCTGGACTGATTCCACAGCCAAATGTGAACGAGGCAAGAGAATGATAGTGTGTGAGTAGAACTACTGCATGTACCAGTTCTGCAAGGGACCAGCTGTGCTCTTCAGCTTTTAAAAGTTGCTTGGGGAAGAGGAGGGAAGAAAAGAATATTTTAATATTGGAGTATGGTGTTGATGAAAGTATATAGTTCATCTTGGTATTTAATCCATTGAAAACAATTAGTCAGTGTATAAAATTTTGCATAAAATTACACTTGAGACATGTAGACCCAGAATTTGCTAATTTTTATGAACTGTGTTCACCAATAGAGCTTAATATAATTATACATTATCATTTTTATTTTCTGAAATCCTGATTTAAAAATATAATAGAATGTATTTTGCAATAAAAGCATATTAAAACCAGTTGCCTTATTTCAGAGTGGATTAATAACTATGTTGTTCAAAGTTTCAAATCCAATATAATCTATGTCTTTTAAGGAAACTACTGTATAAAATATACTTTTTGTTTATTGTTGTTTTAGATTATTATCAGCCTCCTCAAGGAATTTTTAAGGTAGTGGTTTGTACAACTTGACAGAATATTCCTAAATTACATTTTAAAAATTATGATCAAAGTCTATAACTCTCCAGAATCTTACAATCTGTGTCCCTCCTGCTCCATAATCTTGTATAATTTTTTATTACTAAACAATATTGTATTAATTATATTCAAAGCTTGTATCTTCTTGATGTTAATTATGCAACTGTATCTAAAATATTCTATAAAAACATATATTTAAAAGTATCTACCATGCAGTAGAAATTTTTAGAGAATGCCAATTTACTTTCCTTCTATTATATATTTTTTAACATATTTTTATTGATTTCAGAGAAATCAATTGACTGTCTTTTGAAAGAGAGAATCATTGACTGTCTCCTGCATGCCCTACTCTGGGGATCAAGCCCACAACACAGGCATGTGCCCCATTGAGGAATCAAACCATGACCTCTTGGTTTATAGGTCAACACTAAGCCACGCTATTCTATTATCTTTATTAATAAATAGAACCAGAAGGAAGTAGTTTAAGATGGTATTGTTAAAAGATAGAAAACAAGATGCCACTTCACAGTTATCAGAATGGCTAAAATCCAAAACACTGATAACACCAAATGCTGGCCAGGATGAAGAGCAGTAAGAATGCTCATTAACTGCTGGTGGGAATGCAAACTGGTACAGCCACTTTGGAAGGAAGGAAGACTGTTTATCACAAAGCTAAACATAGGCTTAATATACAATCCAGCAATCAATCAATTATTTACCCAGTTGAGTTTAAAACTTGGAATGTCCATCAAAAACCCTTCACTTCACAATTGCCCCAAACTGGAAGTAATCAAGATGTCCTTCAATAGGTGAATGGGTAAACAAATGGTGGTACACCCATACACAGGACCATTTTTCAGCAATAAAAATAAGTGCCCTGGCCAGTGTGGTTCAGTTGGTTGAGCACTGTGTGTGCACCAAGAGGTCTTATGCCTGGGTTGTGGTCTTGATTCCCCAAAAGGGCCTATGCAGGAGGCAGCTGATCATCAATCTTTCTTTCTTAAAGGCATGTAGGAACCCTAAATACACACTGATAAATAGAGAAGCTAGTCCGAAAAGGCTACATAGAGTACCGTATGATTCCAACTACATGACATTCTAGAAAACGCAACAGTAAAAACATCAGTGGTTGCAAGAGTTTAGGGGGAAGGAGAAATTGAACAGGGGACTTTTAGAGCAGTGAAAATTATTCTGTATGAAACTATAATGGTGGATACATGACATTATGCATTTGTTAAAACCCATAAAATTATACAACTCAAAGAATGAACCCAAATGTAAATATAGTTAAGTTTATATCAATACTGATTCATCAATTACATAAAATGCACCATACTAATAATTCTAGATGTTAATAATAGAAGATATATGTATTCCGGGAAGTTTGAGGAGATAAAATTTGGGAAGTCTGACATTTTTCTAAAAACCTAAAAAGAGTCTATTGAAAAAAATATTTTTTTTGGTGGTAAACACACAATACAATATACAAATGATATATTATATACCTGAAACCTGTATAATTAATCAATGTCACCCCAATTAAGTTCAATTAAAAAATTTTAATGGCCCCTAGATATATTTCTTTACTCTTACCTCAATGTGTTCTTTAGTAATAAGCCAAGGTCTATGGGCTAGCAATTTGTTAAGTTCTCCTAAATTTTGTAGTTTTTGAGGAGCATTCTCTAAGCCATTAAGCCACTTGGAGTCCCCACCAACATGAAGGAAATCATTTACATGGAGGTTCACTAAGTAGGAGCACTGATGTCTTGCTGCAGCCTTAACAGAAAACAAAAAAAGATTATTCTAACTATAATAAAGTTCAAAACAGCTAATTAAATTTTTTGTTAGTGTATTTCAAATTTTCCTAAACTACAGAATGAAGCTTTCATATAAAGAGTTTTTAAAAATTCATATACCATAGAGAGCACTTCAGAAATATTCCAATATCAAAAAATATCTGATAAAACTATTTGAACATTAGAAACTTCTCTTACATACCAACTTTTAAAATTCAGATTAAGAAGAAACTTTAATTAGCACCACTTATATCAGTGAAACATATTTTAGTTTATTCTTAAAAATAAATACATGTTTCTTCTTGTTATATTTGAGAGCATACTTATTTGGAAAGAAGAAAAACAGACTCTACCTATGTTTAAAATATTAACCATTTCTTAAAAAGATTAATAAAGCAGGCAGAATTTTTCATTGAATGTTCACAAACCATTATTCCAATGTAGTGCCGGTAATGCAGGGGTAATGGCCCGTCCATTTGCAGTAGATAGTGTTGAGTTTTTAAGAAACTTTCCAAATACTGTGGGTGAAAAACCATCACTAAAGTAATGTTATCCAAACGACCCAAAGCAGCAAAAGAATCTGCAAATAAAGTATGCATTTGTGCGTCTTCACTCCCCACCTGAAGAATCTGTATAAAAGAGAGAAAACCAGAATTACATAAATTGTAAATTGGTGTTAAAGAAAATATGCAAGCACTGCATTCTAAGTATCATCTAGAAGCAGATTAAATTTGGCTTAAGAGAAGAGAGGGGTTACAAATTTAACTCAACTGGCAGCAGACAGAAGAACAGTCACATATTATATAGAAGGGAATGAACGTTAAAGGCCATCCAGAAAGCCTGCTTGCAGACCTATTCAGAATCTAGATACAGAAGCACATTTAGATTATCAAACTTGCAAAGCTTGCAAACAGATACTAAAGCTTTTTCTTATAACAATGCCTACTCTCACTCAATTTAAGGAGAATCAAAACTGACTAATAGCAAACATCTGTAAACAAAGCCTAGGAGTAATTACATACTTAAAATTAAAGATCCAATTGAGCACTGGTACCAACCTGTGGAGATGGTCAAGACCAAGTAACTCAGCTCTGGACATGCCTAAATAATATCTAAATATAATGAGATGGATTATCATTGGTCAAAACAAGTCTTGCCTTTCCTTGATTAAATATGGGTGTTAGAAATACTAGAAATCAACATGACTACAACAGCTTTCTAATCCCACAGACTCACTGCCAAAGCATGATTAATTGTGTCAACTTTTGCGTAAAACATGTTGTTGACTAATAATAACAACTGTTCAGATACCAAGATGTAGGTCATGGAAGTTTTTCCTTAAAAGCACACAGTTCACTATGTACTTTCACAAACAACATACCTCTTTTTCTGGGATAAATCTGCTTGGTCCGTGTCCCAGTGGTCGAGGAATTCTAATTCCAAGTTCCTAGAAAAGAAAATTACACCATCTCAGGCCTCCAGCAGTAAACAACATGAACTGAAGCTACAGGAAAGGGGAAAAACAACCAGTTGAACAGAGACAGGCTTGTTTTGGTGGTTTGCTTGCATGGTCATATATATATACACCAACCCTTCTGTTTGCATCACATAGCTGACAACAGCTTACAATATGACTCTGACTAAAAACAATGAAACCTGTTTCACTTAAACCAGAGTTTTGCATAAAGTACTTGGCAAAATGTCTAGAACAGAAAGTTCAGTACATAGCAGCCAACCCTGTGGATTGTCAGTGATACAAAATAAGACCAATGTGTTTGTACATCTAAAATACAACCAACCAAAATATCAATTCTCGTGCATCTTTTCAGGAAATGAAAAAGCAGTAACCCCTACCTAGATGTCTTAAACTAAAAAGTATTATTATTACATCTACAATAATGGTTTACAATAAGGGCAGAAATATTGTGAAAAATAAAGTTATTTAAATCTACAAAAGAGAAAGTACTGTAGGACATGTTTTCTCTATGGTTGAATAAAAGCAATTTTAGAGAAATTAACTTTATTTGTGAGCCTTAAATTAAGTTTTTTATCTGCCATCAACCCTGCTTATATTTTAAGCAAACTCAAGTAATTGAGAAATAAATGTTTTTTTGTGTTTTTTTTTTTTGCTTTTTGATATAGTGAATCTAGAATCCTATACATGGAATTCAGAATTCTATACCTTATGTTATAATGAAGTGTGATAACAGAAACTAAAAATTTACTGTTAAGGCTTCCATTCCCCCGCCCCCCAATACAGTGTGTTTATAGAAACAAAATAAAAATAATTCAACCTTATTATTTTTTTTAAGGCTCATCAATCTGGTCTCTAAACAAAAACTTCTTAGCATTTTAACAACTAAAGATTAATCCTTGCTTAGGTACAAATTACATCACATACAAAATTACATACAAATAGCATTTCTATCCTCTCAATACTGTTTCAAAAAGTCCTTCATGATATAAACCAGATGCTTTCCTTTTAAAGAAAAAAGGGGCGGGAGGGTTAGAGAAGGACATGTGGCAGCAATTCAAGAAATCTGGTCCAAGTGAATGAAAACCTTTTGAGCAGAATGGAGTTTTAAAAATTAAGCAGGCAGCCCTGACCGGTTTGGCTCAGTGGATAGAACATTAGCCTGGGACTGAAAGGTCCCAAGTTCGATTCAGGTCAAGTGCATGTACCTTGGCTGTGGGCACATCCCCAGTAGAGAATGTGCAGAAGGCAGCTGATTGATGTTTCTCTCTCATTGATATTTCTAACTCTCTATCCCTCTCTCTTCCTCTCTGTAAAAAATCAGTATTTTTTTTTTAATTAAGCAGGCAGTACAAAATTAAAGATAATCTTTATTAGAACTCAGAATTCAGATTCAAAGTAGGCTACATTTGCCAAATGAATCTCTAGCATATATAATTCAAATAATCTTGTATTGGAGATCAGTGATTTCTTAATTAGATTATTCCACACTTATACTGAAGATAGTAATGTTCTAAGCACCATACACTTCATTAGAGGAGGCACCCAATTCATTGGTCTGACTATGTATGAGTCTTGATTTTAATATCCCATAATAAATGCAAAAAAAACCAAAACTCCCACATTTCTGCTATTCAATATATCATCTTGATATAAATGCAGGCATATATATAAAAAAAGGACTCATTAGCCTTAACTGCCCAATCTCTAATATAGTTACAGTTCAAAAAATAATATATTGGGTAAAACTTTAAGGCTAAAATCAATATTTACCCCTTTGTATATATTTACTATCTTATTTAAACCAAGTGCATTTTAAGAAAATATCAATTTCAGTAGTTTATTATTCATTTTATAATGAGACATTATTCTTGGGACTTTAGTATATAAAAAGGTGACATATCAAGTGTGGGAGATTATTCAACAAATGATCCTGGGACAACTCCAAATGAAGTTGGAGCCTTAAATCATACTTTACTCCATAGTAAATGAATTACATATAATAAAATGAACTAAAAACCATTGCAGTGGTATAACAAAACACATGAAATGGAGCAGGCTTAAGAATGCCACAAAATCCAAGTCATAAACCATAGGATTGATAAATGTGATTAGAATAGTTCCACATGGGAAAAATAAACATACAAAGTCAAAAGCCAACAGAAAACTGGGAAATATATTTACAATTCATATATCAAAAGACTAAATTTCTTTACTCTATAAAGACTCCTACAAATCATTAAGGAAACTCCAATAACCTAATAGAAAAATGAACAAAGAACACAGACAATTAAGATAAAAGGAAATACAAATGGCTAAAAAGATCCTTCACAATAAAACTGCAACTAACTACACTAAGATATAATTTTTCACCTAAAAGATTGTTTAAAATCTAAAAGTTTGAAAGAAAATAAAAATATTTGATAACAGGCTATGGAGAGGGGGTAGATAAATATCAATCACTGCTTATACATTCTGATGAGAGTGTTTTGAAGTATGAGAAAAAAATGATCAAGAAATATATAATGAGTATAAATTACTACAACTTCTGAGAGGGCAATTTGTAATAATGATCAAAATGAAACAGTCAGATACCTTTTAAATCAACAATTCCATCCTAAACATCAAGGTTACATATGTGAAATGTTATATAGTATGTAAAAAGATAATAACTATAACACTGTTCTAAAAGTATAAGATATAAAAAACTAAGTGCTCATCAATAGAGGGCTATTTCAATACATAGACAAGAACAGTGATTTTTAACCCTTTTCATTTCATTGAATACATAAATTACTAACATTCTGCAGCACACCAAAAAATATATATTTTGCCAATTTGACAAAAAAAAAATAGGTATAATTTTGATTCATTCACACTAGATGACTATTGTGTTGGCTGTTGTCATTTTTTATTTGACAATCTAAGGGAAAAAGAGGTCAGTCCTCTGACTAAATAGTCAGTTATTGCATGTTTTAAAATTGTGGCACACCAGTTGAAAAATCACTGGACTAAAATAACATGCAGCCTACAAAATGAGGCAGTTCCACATGGGTTGGCTTTAAAAGATCTCCAAGGTATAGAATGTGGGACAAAAAAGCAAAATATATATTTACTAGAGGCCCAGTGCACAAATTTCATGCTCTCATGGGGAGGGGTCCCTCAGCCTGGCCTGCACCCTCTTGCAGCACACGAGCACTCAGGGGATGTCCAACTACTGGCTTAGGCCCGCCCGCTCCCCAACTTAAGCTGGCAGTTGGGCATCCTTAGCACTGCCAGTGCACTCGCCAGCCATGAGCCTCCTGAATTAAGCACCTGCCCCCTGGTGGTCAATGCTCATCATAGCGACCGGTTGTTCCACCATTCGGTAAATTTGCATATTAGCCTTTTATTATTGGGATGCTCCTCTCTGTAAGGAGAGGAGGAAAAACTTAGCAACTCCACAACTCCATTTGTAGGACTTTATTCTACAAATACATTAGCAGGATATTGTAGGTGATAAATATAGTTTTTTAATGAGACCAGGTTGATAGCACATGGGCCTCAAACAAAAAGGTTGAATATTATTTTGGTTTTATTTGTATACCAAATGTATTGTCTATATACCAAAATATTATAAAAACAATAGTTTTCCAGTTCTAAGAAAGTCACTACTGTTTCAGAAACAGAATATTTTTCCTATAGTTATGGGAAGGGTCTTTGCCAACAGTCCTGTGTAATTTTCAAGTCTCTGTAAGTCCATCCATACAGCTGTGAGAACTTAGAGGCCATATTGGTATCACTGTCTCCCCTCTTCCTTGCCTTCATTGGCCAAACCCTTCCTCCCCCTTCTTTAGGAAATAAATATTTTAAAGGGAAAAATTATGCATTTTAAAACAGGATGTTAAGGAAAGCCAACATTTTTGGGAACAGATAATAAATTCATTATGCTAATAATCTCTTAGTGTTAAGATCAATTCCATTCCTTGATGAGGCACCAGTTTGACAAAAAGATGAATCTAAAAGGAAAAGAGGGGAAAGAACAGAAAAAAAAGAAAAGAAAAAAACCCCTGAAAAAATAAAAATGAAAAGAAGTCTCTGACATTCAAGAATACAATTTAATTGTTTTACCTAAGGTTAATTCTAAGTAAAATAGAATTTTACCGAGCTCACCCTTGGGCTATGAAAGTCAATTTTCTACTAAGCTGAAGAAATTATGAGATGTTTGTGACATTCTGTAAAAGCAGTAGGGAAATGGTAGGGGGGAAGAGAGGAAGTGAAAAAAAAAAAAAATAAGGGGAAGGAGAAGAGATGGTCAGATTTAAAAAAATTAAATCTTTTCCCAACAGAAAGGGTCAATATCAAGATTGAGAAATATAATTACTACTATTCTAGATCTCACATCAATTATTTTCCCAATATTTAGAGGCAGGACTCAAAAGATGTCCCTTGTTTTCTCTTAGTTAAGTGAGTAGGTACCTGAGAAGGATACAGAACATGATATGACCCTTTCTATAAAAAGGATTGACCTGGGGTACTCCTGATGAGCCATGAGATTGCATCCCAATTTATCCTAGTCCAGATACTGGTGGGAAGCAGATCACTGATTCTATCTAGCCTTCCATTGCACACAAATTGAGATCTAATTTCTGGGAAAAGTAAACAGATAATAATTATCCTGAAAACAGCCAGGAAGTCAGGTTAGAGGCAGTGTTTATTGAGCCTCATTATGAATTTTTGATTAACTTAAAGGTTCTTTTAGATACCACTATCCTATCTAACAAAGAGGTAATGTGCTAATTGGTCCTAACGCCATCGCAAAGATGGCCGCAACCAAAGCCAATAAGGAGGGAATATGCTAATTGACTGCCCTACCCTCAAAGATGGTGGTGCTCACAATCACAAAATGGCAACGCCCAGTCCTCTCAGCCTCCCAGGGCCAGCCTGAGGTGCAGGCAAGCCTCTGATGGCAGCTGCCCAGCCGCCCAGGGCCA